CCCCCGCCATCCCCCGGCACAGTGCCCCGGCATCACCTTTGGGCAGGGGGGGGCAGCAGGCAGCCAGGCGCATGCGGGCACCCTCTGCCTGCAGCCCCCAGTGCCCGTAGGTGCCCAGCAGCTCCCTGAGGCTGCAGAACCGCCGGGACACCCCCGAGAGCCAGAAGTTCCCGTCCTCATCCCGGCGGATCAGGCAGCGCTTGTAATCCTGGCCGGAGCGGGTCTGCGGGGAGAGAGTCAGGTTCAAGGAATCCCCCCCAAAATCCCTCCCGCCCTGCAGGTCCCCACAGGGCAGCCCCGGGGCTGTGCCTGCCCCCAAGGGCTGGCACTGGTGGCATCATCCCTGCGAGCACCAGGTCTCAGCCCTGTGTTTCCCTCCCCAGTGATGCTGGTGGCACCCAGGGCGATGCCGTGCGGTGCTGGCACCCTGGTCCCCAGCTGGTGGTGGTCCCAGTGGTGGTCCCAGTGGTGGTGCCAGTGGTGGTGCCAGTGGTGGTGCCAGTCTCACCTCAGCGCAGACGGTCAGCAGGTAGCTGTCGAAGTCCTGCGGGCTGCGCCGCAGCAGGTACAGCCCCGGCCGGCTCCCCGCCGCCTTCAGCTTGTTCACCGCAAACTCGGAGCTGCAAAGGGGGCAGGGCTGGGGTCCGGCACAGCCTGCTCCCCCCTCGGGGACACCCCAAGGACACCCACACCTCCATGCAGCTCATCCCTCTGCCACGGTGTCCCCAAACCTGGCGAGCACTGGGGTGGTTTGGGCATCACCTGCCCAGTGCTCCCCACTTTTGTGCCTCCCACCTGAGTGATTTCTCCCCCCTCCCCAGTGCCTGTGGGTTGGGGGTGATGAGGGAGGGGAGGGGATGGGGGGTCCCAGCACCCACCTGATGGGCCCGTGGCACTGGTTTTCCACATCCTCCAGGAGCCGTGGGGGGGCCACCTCCTTGCAGAAGTAGTGGTGGGCATCTGCCGTCAGGCGGTAGTAGCCATCGATGAGAGCCACGAAGGAGCGGGCTTCCTGCAGCGTGGGGAACTCCACCTCCTGCAGCCAGGCAGGTGGGGGGGGTCAACCCTAACATCAAAACCCCCCCACAACCCCACCAGGCTTCCCCCCACTACCCCCAAGGCTCACCAGCACCCTGTTGTCGGTCTTGGTGAGGGTGACGACGCGGTTCTCCACGGGGCTGCCCTCCCTGCTGGCCTGCTTGATGCTGATGTCGGCGATGTCGGGGAAGTCGCAGAAGTGCTGGCGACTCTGGAGAAGGTCGGGGGGGGGGACACACCATGGGGACCGACCTCCACATCACCCCCCCAACACCCCGCTGCAGCCCCCTGCCCGCACCTCGGAGCCCAGGCAGCTCCAGGAGACCCCGCTCTCTCCAGCCACGTGGATGACGATGTCGGTGCCGGAGTTTGGTGAACGCACGTGGAAACTCTCCTCTGCCCAGCGCCGCTGCAGCCGCTCCAGGTCCAGCAGGTACTTGAGCTTGAGGTACCGTCCGTCCGTCTGGCAGCCCCCGATCTTCCGCAGGGATTTGCTGATGCGGCGACGGATGCGCTTGCGGGTGAGGAAACTGTGCTGCTGGATCTGGCACCGCAGCGGCTCGGGGATGCAGGATTTGTAGCTGCCGGGGAGGCAGGGGGTCGGTGAGGGGGTGTCCTGGGGGGGACTCTGGAGTGTTCCCCCCTCCAGGCAGCTCCCATGGCCCCGACCCTGCTCACCTGACGTGGCTGAAGACCTCGTCCGGGCTCTGCCTCTTCTCCTTGGCGATGCGCAGCATGTCCAGCACGGCCAGGCTCAGACACTCCTCCTGCCTGGGCAGGCTCAGCGCCACCGCCACGCGCCCCCCGATGAAATCGCTGCGGGACTGGGGAGGGTACAAGGGGCTGGGTTGAGGGGGGGTGGGGGGAGATCTCCACACACCAGCCCCTCGCTCCCCCAAACTGGGTGCATCTCCCTCCTGGGGATGCTCCGGCCAGGAGAACCCCCCATGCACCCCAAGCCCCCCAGTCCGTCCCCCCCAACTAATCAGAGCTTCTAGGGTGGTCCCTGCTGACCCCCCCATCACGCTGGGCTGGCTATAGGGTGGCTCCAGCCCCATAGGAGTCACATTCTGCTCTGGGTGCTGGCTTCCTCCTGCTGCCTGGGGGACAGCGGAGCTGGCTCCATCCCTGGGCCATGCACCACCACCCAGGGGACATGGTGACCCCCAACTCAGCAAACTGGGGTGCCCCATGCCCAGCATGGGATGCCCAAAAAACAGCTCCAGCCAAGCTGGGCAGCAGGACCCCCATCCCAGAGGCGTCGTGGCCAAGGGCCAGTGGGTGCTGGAGGAGGAGGAGGAGGGTGGCACGGCCCAGGGTGGTGAAGGCCATCGCTGCACTGAGGTTGACACGTACCACACACCCGAGAAGCCACATGGGACCCCCCACCTTCGTCCCCAGGTGTTGGGGAACGGAGATGCCAGCCTGGCAAGGCTCACCTGGGCAAAAAGGTAATCGATAACGGGGTAGTCCAGGACGGGGCTGGCCCGGTCGTTCAGCAGCTGGAAGCGGTGGGACTGTCCCAGCCCACACCAGTTGGGGAAGAAGAACCTGATGGGGAGAGCGGAGGGGGCTCAGCGCCAGGGCCCCCCCCATAGCGCACAACCCCTATCAGCCATCAGAGACTCCCCAGGGAGCAGGGCCGGGGCCGTACCTGATCCTGTACACCAGCACCTGGCTGCAGGAGTCATCCACGGTGAAGAGGTGGTTGGGGGGGAACCAGCAGCTGAGATCCTCGGTGGCCAGGGCGAAGAGCGGGTGGCAGACGGGCAGCACGCCTGGGGGTGGCAACGGTGCAGTGACCCCCCCCATGACAAGGATGGGCACAGCTGATACCCCCAGCCCGTGGCTGGTACCACAAGCCCATGGCCAGTACCCCAAACCCATGGCTGGTACCCTGAGCCCATGGCTGGTACCCCAAGCCCACACCTGGTACCCCGAGTCCATGGTTGGTACCCCAAGCCCATGGCTGGTACCCTGAGCCCACAGCCAGTGCCCTGAGCTCATGGCTGGTACCCCAAGCCCACAACCCAAGCCCATGGCTGGTACCCCGAACCCACAGACAGTACCCCAAGCCCATGGCTGGTATCCCAAGCCCATGGTTGGTACCCCAAGCCCACAGCCTGTACCCCAAGCCCATCAGTGGTACCCCAAGCCCAACAGCCCGTACCCCAAGCCCATGGCCAGTGCCCTGAGCTCATGGCTGGTACCTCAAGCCCATGGTTGGTACCCCAAGCCCATCACTGGTATCCTGAGCCCAACAGCCTGTACTCCAAGCCCATGGCTGGTACCCCAAGCCCACAACCCAAGCCCATGGTTGGTACCCTGAACCCACAGACAATACCCCAAGCCCATGGCTGGTACCCTGAACCCACAGACAGTACCCCAAGTCCATGGCTGGTACCCTGAGCTCAGGCTGGTACCCCAAGCCCACAGACAGTACCCCAAGCCCATGGCTGGTACCCCAAGCCCACAACCCCAAGCCCGTGGCTGGTACCCCAAACCCCCAGACAGTACCCCAAGCCCATGGCTGGTCCCCCCAGCCCACGGCCAGTACCCCAAGCCCATGGCTGGTACCCCAAGCCCACAGACAGTACCCCAAGCCCATGACTGGTACCCTGAGCTCATGGCTGGTACCCCAAGCCCACAGACAGTACCCCAAGCCCATGGCTGGTCCCCCCAGCCCACGGCCAGTACCCCAAGCCCATGGCTGGCACCCTGACCCCCCCGGTGCTGGGGGGATGATGCTCACCGCAGGCTTTGGCAGCGCGGACACAGAGCTCCTCGGCCGTGTACTCTCCGAAGGTGAAGGTGAGGATGCCGGCGGCGGTGCCGGGGGGGCTGCGGGGGCTGGGTGCCCAGTGGTACAGGTACACCTGGAGGGTGCCGGTCTCCGTGGAGGAGAGGCTGCAGGAGCGCTCCCCGATCAGCGGGGTGTCCTCGCCCAGCGGGGCCATGGCGGGGGCTGCAAAGATGGGGAGGCTCAGTACTGGGGACTGTCCCCCCCCTCGCTCCAGTGTGACCCCCCCAAAGTCAAGGACCTTGCTCCACACGTGCCTTTCCCTACATATTTCCCTTGGCATCATCCCCTCCCCGGGGTAAAACCCCGCAGCCAAACTGGCAGCATCTCCAGGGCTGGGGTCAGCCCGTTTTGGGAAGGAGGAAGGGGAAACTGAGGCACACAACGCTCTCTCCAGGCTTGTGGATGCACCCACCCCCCTCAAAGCTTGCCCCATGGCCACTCCTCCCCACCAGCTGGCTCCAGGCCCCACATCACTCCCAGCTGTGGGGCCTGGAGGACTCGGCTCCATCCCCGTGCCCGGCTGGGGTGGCCGGACCCCGAGAAGACCCCCCCGTGCCGGTGCGGTACCTGCTGCCGTGCCAGCGCCCGTGTCCTCTGGCCCCCCGAGGGAGGGGGTCCCAGGCAGGGCTGTGCCAGGGGGTCGGGGTTCCTGGGGTGCGTAGGTGGCTGCTCGGAGCCTGCGAGTGAAGGAGAGAGTCAAAAAAAAATCCCCTCGGTGACTTCCTTCCTGCTCGCAGCCTCCGCAGCGGGTGGCTTCCTGGCAAGGGAGGGGGCACAGGGTGAGGGGGCAGAGAGGAGCCCCCCCCGGGGTGCAAAGACCAGCCGGAGGGTGAAGGGGCAGGGAGTTTCGGGTGGCTGGGGTGGCTGGACCCTAAGAAGCCCCCCCCCCGTGCCGGTGCGGTACCTGCTGCCGTGCCAGCGCCCGTGTCCTCCGGCCCCCCGAGGGAGGGGGTCCCGGGCAGGGCTGTGCCAGGGGGTCGGGGTTCCTGGGGTGCGTAGGTGGCTGCTCGGAGCCTGCGAGTGAAGGAGAGAGTCAAAAAAAAATCCCCTCGGTGACTTCCTTCCTGCTCGCAGCCTCCGCAGCGGGTGGCTTCCTGGCAAGGGAGGGGGCACAGGGTGAGGGGGCAGAGAGGAGCCCCCCCCGGGGTGCAAAGACCAGCCGGAGGGTGAAGGGGCAGGGAGTTTCGGGCACCCCCACTTGGTGGTGGGCACCCCAAATGGACCCGGGCACCGCGCTGGTCCCGCCGCCTCCGGGTGCGGTGGGTACCGGGGGGGTGGGGGATGCTCTGCTGGGGAACCCCCGCCCCGTCCTGTCCCACCCCACCGTGTGGGGCGAGGGGCCGGTGTCGTGGTGCCGTCGGGGCTGCCGTGCCTGGCCCCGGTGCCGTGTGGCATCGCACGCACCCCCGACGGATGTGGCCGGGCCCAGCAGCCGCCGCTGAGTTGTTTTTTTCCCCTTTCTGCTGCTTTTTTCAGGCAGCTCGACGTGGAGGCAAAGTTGGGGGGCGAGGCAGGGAAGGGGGGGGGTCCTATCCCCAGGGTGGGTGTTGGGGACAAGGCCACGATGGCCAGAGCCAGACCCCGGGGACCAGGGACCCTCCTCTTGCCCTCGGTGATGCCGGTGCCCCCGCGGCGGCTCGGTTCCCTCGTCGGGGCTCA